GGAGCATGCTTACACTGACATACTGGCAATATACACTATCCTTATCTATACCGCTTTATCCATCTGGGTCTTACCAAAAATATTGGGACACCCCTCCAAACCATTGAATTCAGGTGTCCCAATATTTTTGGTAATATAGTGTATCTAACCATTTTGACTGTCATGCTTAATATTTTTCATTTTGGTGGCACTGAGGAACAATTTTACATTGCGTTATGATATGGATGATACGTGGCGTGGATCTGCGCATTGATGTGACAGGTGATTAATCGTAATGCACGTAGAGCCGCAGAGCGATGTAATGTATGTGTATGGCTGATACCCAGTAAAAATCTGCGTTACCTGAACGTTGGTATTTTGTAGTGATTATCATGTTGTGAAAGAGCACAAACACAACACCGATGAATACAGATAATGGATAGTGTATATTGCCCATTGATGTGACAGGTGAAAACTTTGATTGCCTCGCGGAACCTAAAAATATTAATCTATTTCAAAGATATTTTGCACATTTAATAACGAGGTCCAGTGATGACTATTCCGCACTATTGGAAATTGCTATTGGAAATTTTGATTCTTTCACCCCACCCTAATCCACAGGTGTGGCGTTCAGCGGGTGTCTCGAATGGCACTCTGGGACTGAGCTTATCATTACTTAGCTTCAGAAACTTTTTTTCCTCTGTCGCCGAAAGTGTCGGGTTAGCTGACCGATTCCTCTGTAGCCCCAATAACCTAAAGTAAAGCTCTGCTTCACTGTTAAACGTGTCTGGTGTAGCTGAATTTGTAGAGCTGCCAAATCTTTAATAATCTCTCATATGCCTGCCTTAGCACAGCTTTGTGTTCAGTTTTCTCTTGTAGCTTTTCTTAACCGTTTTCAGGTTCCACTGCCCCTGTATCCCTGATCTGGAACCACTTGCCACAGGTTGAGGGTCTGCTCAGACACCTGAACATGTCTCGCTGCTTCAATACCAACCATCTGCTGCATCGTTTTTCATTGCATTAAAATTGTTCTTGTTTCATCGTTGTTCTCACTGCGATTCCAGTTCAATGCCCTTGTTTCCCTCTCCCTGTCGGTGCAGTAGGGCCTCATGTTTACCTGCGATGGCCATTAGTTAGCAGGAACCGAGGCTCTTGACGGTGCAGTTGGGCCACACATTTACATGCGATGGCCATTAGTTAGCAAGTACCGAGGCTCTTGACGGTGCAGTAGGG